GTTCGCGCTGGGTCTCGAAGCGCATCGGGCACCCCTGGATCCCGCAGAGCAATGTTGTGTCTTCGTCGTCGGAGTCGTCTTGTACAATGTCGTCCTCAGGAAACTGTTGAGCCATTGCTGAAGTCCCAGGAAGGGCCCAGGCTCTGGAGAGGCATCCCGCTCGGAGGGCTCGGGGATCACGTGCTCATAAGGCGTCTTTGACATGTTCGTCTCGAAACAGCTCTAAAAATCGAGGGGGATCACGTTCAGCTCGAAACCGTTCGCCTACAGGGTGCAATCGAAAACATTCCAGACCATCTCGAAACTGGCGGGCCCAAAGGTGCACACGTTGGTCCTGAACGAGAAGACCGTCCTCGCCAATCGGGGGGGACACGGCCTCGTCACCTACGGTGTTCTCGAACGCGCACTGTCCAAACGTAGCCGCTAAGAAAGGTGAGCGGTGCGCAGGCTCCTGGACCAGCTGCTGCCACCACGGGAATCGCCGAATCGTCAACTCAATTGCCAACTTGTTTCGGCGCCTGGGCTGCCTGCGGCCGCTGCGGAGCGGACGCGACCATCGTGGTTGCCCCCTGCCACAGCCAGCACGCGCTCCGAACTGCGGCTGGCTTCGCGGCGCCTGCTGCTGCCGCCACCTCCTCTGCCCGCAGGACCAGCGCGACGGGCGCGACCCCGCCCCGCGGCGGCCGCTCCGCCGAACCTCGGGCGCACTACACCCGACTGTGCCGCGCGCCAACAACACGTTCGTGCTCCTGCTACGCCTGTGCTACCTGTGGTCCTTGACGCTCCTGAAGGACAACTGATGGCGGACAAGGCGAGGCCCGAGCAGCTTGGCGCCTGCCGAAGTCCTCGGGCCACGCTGGCACTGGCGGCAGAGGAAGCTCAGGAGCGCCGCGGACGAGGAGCCACCAGCCAAGGAGGCGAAAAAGGACACCAAGGGCAACGGGCGCGGAGCGGCAGCCCCCGCGGAGCGCGGAGCGGCGGCCGCCGCGACGGGCGGGGGAGAGGCCAACGAGCTCCGGCGTCGCCGACGCGGAGGCCGCCGTCGTCGCGGCCAGCACAGCAACAAGCAGTGGACGTCGAAGGACAGGAACCTCTCGGACTTGCTGCTCACCCTCTGCAAGCTGGTGCTACAAAACGCTCATGGGACGCGCATGGCCATGGCAACGACGGTGGACACCATCATCTTCCCGACAACGCACCCCTATCGTAGTCGCGCTTGGGAACGAGGCCGAGAGTTTCCGTCACCAGATCGAGGACGCTCGCAAGGCGACGGACTCCACGACCTTGCTGAAGGCCCTGGGCGCGCCGCTATAGCGCTATGGCGAACGCGCGGATCCCGAGTGCTGGCTCGGCCGCAACGGCCACATCACTCTCGGGGGCAAGACATTCCCGACTTCGGCGGGAGCCCTCGCGCAAGCCGATCAAGCACCTCCAATCCCGTTCGGGTGGGCGGCGCGCACAACACCCGCAGGCCTCGGACACTCTGGGCCGCGAAACACCCGCAAGTGGAGCAATGCAGAATCCCGTTCAGCACGGCAAAGGAATGGGTCTCATGGCAGCGGATGGCCAAAGGGCGAACAGCAGCACCCTCCAAAACAGGGCCAGGGGCCGAAACCTCATCCTCACCATCGCTAGGAGGCGCGGCGAAGCGAGCGAAACGGCTGCCCTGGCACTCGCCAGGCCAGAAAGAAGCCAGCGCTCCTCGTGTGCTAAACTTCCGATGGCACATGTTGCACTTGATCAAATTGCGGAGCACTACGGGGCAGTGCCCCTGCGCACGCACACGCGCCACGCGCTCCTGCGCAAAGGACCGCCCGTCCCTCCGCCGCACGTGCTGGGGGCACTCATCTCTCCCAACACGCGCGTGCAAGCCGTCGCGTGCACACGTCGTGAAAACATCGCGCTGGATGGCGACTAGCCGCCTGAGAATAGCAACATGCAGGTCATCTTGCAACAAGGTGCGTGCCGAGCACGCGTCGGGAAGTTCAGCCCCCTTAGCGGCCTCAGTTGCACATGCGTCGGCGGCGCCATTCAAAAGGCGCTCGATTCGAGCGAGATAAAGGGCGCTGACTTGGGCTTCCGCGGGGTGGCTTTTGACCCATCTGAGGTCAACCTCACCTTCACGCTGATCCAAAACTTGCCAGATAACCACCCACAGATCAATCATATCACTTCCACTTAGGGCCGCGCGCGGCCGACGAAAGCCCCGCACCACAGGAAGATAATCGCTGGAAATCAAAACTTTGCCCGTCGTATACCTGAGCACGTAAATCAGCGCAAGGAGCTCCGCGTGCGGGGGCGACTGGTCAGGGCCTGGGGGAGTGCCCGCAAAGCCACCGTCGACGCCATCGAGGGTGGCGGACAGGCAGGCGTACACGCGCCCACCCGCACCTCCTAAGCCTGGCATCCTTAGCAAACCTCCCCCCCCGATCCGTCAATCCCCCAAATTCCTCCTTCCTTCACCTCGCGATCTTCGAACGAGCCCCAGAACTAGGTGAGATCCAGCGGTTCGGGAAGGTGCCCAGTGGTGCGACCACGCGGCATGAGCCCACGGCACCACAGGGCTGGACAATCATCATGAGCTGCACGCTCCGCAAGATGGGCCGATTCAGCCACCGTAGTGTCAGGATTAAACTCATTCATGGCACATTCCCAAAAGCGATGGTAAGGGGTCTTCATCTTTTCCCCACACCGAAAACAGATGCCTGCAGCAGAAGCCTCATAACCTGCATGGTGAAGCCGTGCTTCCGTCCAAAACCCACCCGATATGGTGTTCAATAAAATGGACTGCCCTTCGTAATCCAACTCTCTCCCCATCCTCTGATACTCCTTCCGGATACAGATAAAATCAACGCCTCCTTCAACTCCTCCTCCTAGGTAATGATCAGAAGCTTTGCGCCAAACCAAGGCGTCGCGCGCACGCTGAATAGAGCGACGGAGGTGCACGCGGAAGTCTGGCTGGGCCAACTGGACACAGCAGCCTGACCCCGAACGTTCTGAACCTGAGTCGGAGAAAGACCTACTACCACTTGGTGCCCCCAGGTCCCCACAGCTAACACTCCAGGTTTATACAACTTCGAGGCCTTCTTCACCAACTTCGTTAAGTACTTAACTTTACGAGCCTTCTGGGCAGCAATGCGCCTGCGCTTTTTGATAATATCCACAGAACGCCGCTTACCAGCCCTAGTCGAGGTCCCAAGATCACGGGTAGCACTCGCCAGCTTCAACTGGAAGCCGGCTGCCCTGAGATCATTCAAGATCAACAACGTAAGCGGCTGATGGTTACCAGCAGTGGCAGATTTATCTGACAAAATCAGCTCCACTGACTCGAGAGAGTGGCCGAGGTGGACAGCAGCAGAAACAAGCTGTCGGCGGACCTCATCCGCACTACCTTGGGCCACCTGTGACAAGTCGTCGACATACGAACGAGTGGACACCCCAGGATGGTACCGATGATGCACATCGTGAAGGATTTGATACAAATAGACCTTCACCCAAGCCATGGATTGCATACACCCTGGGAGCACTCCAATGCCAGAAGCTATCACATCAGAACAAAAACCAGAAGACTCAAGCATTCGAGGGGGCGCTCGTGGAGGCGCTGATCCAGTGCGACGTCGGCGGCAAGTGCAAGGAACTCTTCACGGAATGGTTCACGAGGGTCAACGGGGAGGGCGGCGAGGACACGTGCATGGAACCGCCGGTGACGCGCACGGACATCGAAGAGGACGTGGCGCTTCTGCGCCTGGAAAAGTGTTACAAGGAGACCGACACCAAGGTGATCGTGGCCATGAAGTGGGCCCTGCGGACCCACGTGCTGGCGGCGATCCGTATCGACAAAAAGGGGGCGATCCACATAGGCGTGGCGCCGTCTGGCTGGCTCGAGGAGGAACTGGCATGCTGGGTCGACGTCGTCTCGAGGTGAACGCCCTGAGCAGGCCTGTGCGAATCGGGCGTTCCAGCTTTCCCCCCCTCTTCTCGCGCGCCGCCGCTCGTTGTCACCCATGCGGGTAGTGACGAGGTTGCCTCCTTACCACCAGCTCTCTCGCCAGCCATTCTTGAGAGTAGGGGCATCCATGCGGGTAGGGACGAGGTTGCCTCCCGACCACCAGCTGTCTCACCAGCCGTTCTTGAGAGTGGGGACGCTGACGACGTCACGCCTGCTCGGTCGAATCAGCCAACGAACGACGAGGATGCCGACGAAGAGGCAGCCCGCTTCTTCGGACTATAAGCAATCAACTGCCTGGCGCTCACGCTCTGCTCGCCGCTCGAGCCCCATGTGCGCGCACGCCTCGCGGGCTTCAGCACCCCGCTGGCCACGGGCTCGACCAGCTGTTGGCCTGCGCGCCATCGTGCACATTTTTCCCAGCCGAATCTGCCACCCAGCTGACCTCCAAACTGAGCCCCGATGTGGCCGTATACTAGAACCACGCGCGCTACGCGCGCTTAGGTTCTGGCTTAGTCCGGGGCAACGGCCAAACAACGGACGGGGGGGGGTCGAAGGCTGAATGCGCTTCAGTTATTCGTCGAGCTTCGCGGGTCGTGGTTCGAAAAGCTTTTGGGGCGTTCCTCGCCCCCCAGGCGGCCCGAGGAGGCCGAAAACGACACCTCTGCCTCGTCCTCCTCTCTCCCCCTTGCGAGCCTTTCGATGAGGGCTGCACAGCGCGCGCTCCGCGCGCCGTGACCCTCAGTCCGCCGTCCTGTTGTAGGCGCCGAACACGCCCTCCGCGATCTTTGCGTTGGGCCCCCTCCGTTCGGCTCGCGAGCGCCGTCTCCCCCCTCCTCTTCCTCCTCCCCTCCTGCTCCTCCTGCTCCTGCTCCTCCTCCTCCTCCTCCTCCTCCTCCTCCTCCTCCTCCTCCTCCTCCTCCTCCTCCTCCTCCTCCTCCCCCATCTCCTCCTCCTCCTCCTCCTCCTCCTTCTCCTCCTCCTCCGCCTCCTCCTCCTCCTCCTCCTTCCCCGCCTCCCCCTCCTCCCCCTCCTCCTCCTCCTCCTCCTCCTCCTCCTCCTCCTCCTCTCCTCCTCCTCCTCCTCCTCCTCCTCCTCCTCTTCTCCTCCTCCTCCTCCTCCTCCTCCTCCTCTTTCTCCTCCTCTTCCTCCTCCCCCTCCTCCTCCTCCTCCCCCTCCTCCTCCTGCCCACCTTCTGGGGGAAACTCCGGCGCCCGGCGGCTGGGCCCCGCACGTGCTCGGCGCCGCCGTGGTCGAGCCGCGCCAGCGAGTCGCTCTCGTAGACGTCCAAGGACTCCATGAGCTCGGCCTCGCGGTCCTGCGGGGGGAGGGCTCTCGTTTCATGTTGCCCCCGTCGCACTTACGGACCACATCCCAGAAACGGTTTCGAGCACCCAGGAAAAGTGTCAAAAGAGTGTCGAGAGAAAGTGTCGAAACAGTGTCGGGCGAGTGTCTCCCAGGGCCCGACACGTGAAAACCCTAGAGTTTTTGGGTGCTTTCTTGGTGCTCGAAATTCTGTCTGGTGGCTCAGGCTAAAGTAGGTTGCAACATCATGACTCTGGTCGGGAAACGAACTCTGTACACCGACGCTTTCTCCGACCCGGCGCCGAAGTTCGCACAGGAGCGTGGATCCTGGTGCATGCGCAATTCTGGTGTATACATGTTTTTCGCTGTTTCCACCCCGACGTCGTCCCCGACCCTCAAAAGAGTCCTGGGATTGAAAAACCGCCCGCCACTGGTAGTGAGTATGCTCCAATTTCCGATTTTGTCGAGCGTTGCTTGGTTAGAAAAAAATGCCAAAAACATGAATTTCGATGCTCCACGCAGATTTCTTGGACCTGCACCGGACCACCCTCCCTGGCGCGCGGAGCGCGCCAGGGGCGGCGCCGGAGGCGCCGCCAGGGGGCCCCAGCGCCGATCCAAGAAATCCGCGCGGAGCGCCACAAGATGATATTTGTGCCGTTCTTCTTCGACTAGTGGGGGGGGATAACTGACAGCGCCTAGGCCCAGCAGTCTTGCACAGTTCCTTGGCTGCTGCCTTCCAGTAGTTCTAGAGAGGCCAGTGCCAGTGGATAAGGTATGACAAGATTCGACTCGTCATTTCGCATCTCTCCGAAGGAGGGGAAATTGTTGCACCTCTCGTGCCCCTTTTGGGCCCCACGGGGCCCTTCAGGGGGCCCCTTTAGGGGTTCTAGGGCACAACAGGTGCACCTCTTTGCATCGCCTCATCGATCGCCCTCCCAAGACGCAGCGCCCGACTTCGGGCGGGGGCCCTCAGGCCCGGGCGTTGCATTTGTTTCTCAAACCGGGCGCTTGTCCGCCTGCGCTTGGGCCCCAGGACCTGCAAAGGCTCGGAGCATCGCGCAGTAGACGATGGGGTGTGGGGCTGCGCGAGGGGGGAGGGGGTTGCGCGAGGGGGGAGGCCAAGAGGGTGGAGGGCGCGGAGGAGCCAGGGGGGGAAAAGGAGGGGCGTCGAATCGCAGGGCACCGCGATCAGCGGGAGAAGAAGGGCAGGGAGGAGGGAGGAGAAGCTTCTTCTTTCTCCTCCTCCTCCTCCTCGTCCTCCTCCTCCTCCACCTACTACTACTACTACTACTACTACTACTACTACTACTACTACTACTACTACTACTAGTACTACTACTACTACTACTACTACTACTACGACTACGACTACGACTACGACTACGACTACGACTACGACTACGACGACTACTATGACTACGACTACGACTACCACTACGACGACTACTACTACGACGACTGCTACTACTACTA